CCACCACCGTGGGAGAGGGGTGGGGTGGGGCTGAGGACCCTGAATTTGGCTGGAAGGCCTTAAAAGAGTATTTTTCACCTTCGCTGAACCACAGCCTTGGCACCTATGTAGGAGGGCTGCCTAGTTCTCCAAATCCATCCCCAACTTCCCGGTCACCATGTGGAAGCAGGCCAGGTTCTAATATGGCGGAAGAAGTGCAGGACTAGATGGTACCTGGGAGGCAGACGGCAGGGCCAGGCTCAAGGGGTAGGGCTGTGACACTGGCTGGGGGGACAACCAGCCTTTGACACCTCCTGACCACTAAAGTCAGTCACAAACTAAATGATCTAGTCCCTTCTTCCAACTACGTCCTTTAATAGTTTTACCACACGCTTAACAACCATCACATCAACATATTACTTTAAATGGTTAAAAAGACACCACTTTCAGAAAATATGGCCCTCCCCGTGCCTCTTCATGGACAGTCCCTCTTTATCTTGGTTTACATTTTTCCTACTTCCTGGATTTTGTGACTCAGTGTTCTCACATGTAGAGCCCTTGAGAATAGCACCACACTCTCTCGGCAGGACCCCAGTGACATCAAGGATTCAGACACCACTTCCCAACCCTCCCCACACCGCTCTGGCCAGGGATCCCATTCTTAATGACTCATGAGATTTCATATATTTTCCCATCAGAAAGCTGACAAAATAATACAGTGGCTTGCTCTGGTCCAAACGGGTCTGTGCTCTTATAATTTAAACAAGATTATGATGACCTGCAAATGTAGGAACCTTCTTAGCTTCCTCACCACTTATGTCATCATCACGACAACCCTGGAGGTGGTAGGGCACATCTTATTATCCCTTTCAGAGATGAGAAAACTGAAGCTCAGAAGGATTAAGCAGCTGAATTTTTCAAGGCCAGTAGGTTACTGAAGGGTAGAGCTGGAACTTGAACTTGGGTCTTCTGGCCTCCCATTCATATTCTGTTCACATCCCACTGTCCTCCACCACCTCAGTTAGGCACACAGGCTTTTTTCAGAATTCCATTCACCTACCTTGTTATCCAGGGGATACGCGAAAAGACAACTGGAGTGTCTCACCTTCCGGGGAGACTCTGCAGGAGTCTAGTGGGACTTCAGCAGGAGATGCAAGATCCTAGAAGTGAATCTGGGGAAATCCCAACACGCAGTCTTCACCACCTCGACATTTGTGCTTCACAGATAATATTTTCCAAGAGGAACGATTGCTGTTGTGGGTGCCTTGCTGTTTGGTGGGAGTTGGCCCTTCAGACCCCCAATTCCGATAGATGGCTGTGGCTTGTGAATGAAGAGGAAAGATGAGGGATGGCATTGGCGTCTTCGGCAAGATAAGACCGTGTCTGAGAAGGAAGCAGCACATGACAAGTAGCCAGCAATGCAGATGCAGAGCCATGGAACGAGAGACCTGGGTAGATCTCCGTAAGAGCTCCTGGGCTGTGGCTGTTTTGTGAAGGAGCACGTAGCCTCTTCACTTCAGAAATTCCTGAAAGTACTCAAGTATTAAGCCCAGGGAAGCAGCTGATGGTTATACTGATCACAGGAATAATCAAGAAAAAGTTAAACTGTGCTTTGTGGCTTCTTTTTAGAAAATTCCAAAAGTGTAAAACATGTTAGAAAAGACTCTCATCAAAAACAAATAGAATAAAAATTAACTTCTTTTAATTAAAAAGGGCAAGCTTTAATAACTTAGAAAACTATTAGAACAGCTCTTTGCCCAAATTTTTACATACATGTGTTACAAGGGATTTTTTTGAAGCCAAATTTCCTCTTTTATGTTTGTGAACCTCATGAAATGGAACACCTACCTTCTTCAAAAGATACTTTGAAGCCATAAAAATGTTCATACACTCTGACTCCATAATCCCCTTCTGGGAAGCTAGCCTAAGAAAATACCCTGAAATATGGGAAAAGCCATATGCAGAAAAATACTCATCAAAGAGCTGCTTAGCAAAAAGCTGGAAGCAGCCCAAATATTCAAAAAGCAGGGGGAGGATGGTAAAGTAAATCACAGTATAAGCCTTGAAGAAATATTCTATAACCATTAAAAATGATGGTATGAAGTTTATGAAGGATCAGAGAAAATACTTATGATAAAGTATTAGGGTCAAAAAGCCCGGAAAAATATTTGCACATACATGATTTATAAAAACAGGAAGGGAACATAAAAATAATAGTTGTCACTATGTCAGTGTGGTGGGCTTATGGATTTCTACCTTGTTTTTAAATTTGTCTAATAGTATTATACATCTACTTAAAAAAAAAAGTTCAGGCTTTAAAAAAAGCAATAGATGCTACAAATGCTTTAAGTGGGAAGAAACATCATTAGTAGAGGTTGGGGGGTAAGTTGAGAAACTGCTCATCTTTCTGACCAAATTACTAAGTGTCTTTAGAATGGTTTCATGTTGTATGAAATAAATATAAAATGTAGGCAAAAAGCATATATAAAAAGTAGTTTCATTTAAGGCACCCAAAAATCCAAATTATATTATTGCAGAAAATATTCAGGGTTTAAAGTTTCTCTTCCTTCTGTGTTTTCAAGTTGCTGTGGATCCACTTATAAGTGTCCTCTTATCAAGGGCCCTGGAACGAAACTTAGTATCTCTCTATGGTTTTTATTTCATCTGCTGCCTCATTATGCCATGATCGATTGGATATGGGTGTTGGGTTTAGAAAACAAATTTCATTTTCTCCCTCCACCACCCAGGACACTTAAGAGTCATGGGAGAACTGGGAGGAAACTCCAGAGCATTCAGGTAGAAATCTCTTTGGCAGGAGTACATGTCTCCGTGAGGTGGGGGTGGTTGGGGTCAGAATCCCAGACATGTTATGTCATTGTGAACCCAGAGTCAAAGTTCCACTTGGGGGCAAAACAAGGCCAATTTACGAAAGTGAAAAAAGAATCACAAATCCAAATCACATCCCTGGGAAAATGCAAACCAGAAATGGAAAAAATCAAAGGAACATGGTTCTCAACACAATAAAAATGAAGGGGAGGGCATAGAGGCACCTGCTCCAGTATCTATCGTTGCCAAACAAACTACCCTAAAATTTAGCAGCTTAAAACAAAAACCATTTAATTGTATTTCACGACTTTATGGGTCAGTAATTCAGGCAAGGCTCAGCTGGGATATGCTTTTGCTCTTCATGGCATCTGAGGGCACACAGTGGTACTCAGCCAGCAAATGAGTCTAGAGAGTTCAAGGATTCCTGCGCACGCCTGATGCCTGGGGAGGCTGGTGGACTGGGCTGGGCTGGGCTGGATCTGTCAACTGCAGATCCCACACCCGGCCTCTCCAGCACGGCCATCTTCTCGGCATGTTGGAGCTCTTATGTGGTAGCTGGCATCGCCCAGAGCAAGCATTCAGAGAGACCTAGACCAAAGCTACAAGGCTTCTTGCAAACTAGCTGGAAATTCCAGAACATGACCTCAGCCATGTATTATTGGTTGAATAATCACTAAGGCTATCCCGGGCTCAAGGTTGTGGGAGTGGAATTAGTCTCTGCCTTACAATGGGAGAGACAGCGAAGAATTGTCATCAGCTCTAGCCTACCATCAAAGCATCATTTTACACACATTAAATAGGAGGGAAATTGCAGGGAGGAGGCAGTGCAAAGACGTGGAGATGGAGTTTCTGTGGTGGTGATGATAAAAATTGATTTAACACTTTGAGAAGACACCTTGTCAACATGCACAGAATACAAAAAACCATTCATCCACTTTGGATCCCTATCTCACTCCTGGGCATCTATCTACCTTAAAGAAATAATTTTACCAGAGATATGAAAGATTTATTATCTATCAGAGTGACAAAAATACACAAAACCTAAGGGTTCAACAGTAGGCTTAACATCACTCTCCAATAGTAAGTAGCTATTAAGAATGTTAATTATGAAAGTTTTATACAGAAACTTGGAAAATATTTACAGAGTGGTGTTAAACAGGAAAAAAACACCAAAGGTTATATGCGTGTAAACAGGGATCAAAGGGGAACAGATAGGAATAAAAATAGTTTATTACTTATTATTTATTTATCATGATTATTATTATTTATTGGGGTAATGACTTTAGGATGAGTCTTCTTGTTAGTTTTTTTCTTTAAAATACAAGGAACAGAGAAACATGTTGAAAACACCATGGAGGATGCAAGCAGCAAACTCCAGTTAGTGTGAGACACTAACTCTACAGGATGAATGACTAGTCGTCTTCAATAAATAAATTACAAGGGAAAAAACAAGAGGAAAGGGAACCTAGAAGTTTAAAGAGACTTGAGAGTTGTCAACCCACTGGAATAATTGGGCACCATTTCAGTCCTAATCCAAATAAATGAACTGTAATGACAACATTTGAGAGACATTAGGAGAAAGATGAACACTCTAATTCAAAAAGACTCATGCACCCCAATGTTCATAGCAGCACTATTTACAATAGCCAAGACATAGAAGCAACCTAAATATCCATCAACAGATGACTGGATAAAGAAGATGTGCTATATATATACCCAGTGGAATATTCCTCAGCGGCAAAAAAAGAATGAAATAATGCCATCTGCAGCAACATGGATGGACCTGGTGATGGTCATACTAAGTGAGGTCAGACAGCGAAAGACAAATATCATATGCTGTCACCTATATGTGGAATTTGAAAAAATGATACACATGAATGTATTTACAAAATAGAAATAGACTCACAGACATAGAAAACAAACTTATGGTTAACAAAAGGATAAAAGGATACATTAGGAGTTTGGGATTAATAGATATACACTACTATATATAAAAATAGATTAACAAAAAGGTCCTATTATATAGCACAGGAAACTATATTCAATATCTTGTAATAACCTATAATGGAAAAGAATCTCAAAAAGAACATATATATATGTATATATCTGAATCACTATACGATACACCAGAAACTAACACAACATTGTAAATCAACTATACTACAATACAGAAAAAAACAGAGAGACATTAGGGGAAATTTGAACTCAAGGCTTTTGCTCATCTTAAGGAATTATTGTTTATCTTGTTAAAGATGATAATGGTATTGTGGATACTTTTAAAAGTCCTTATCTTTCAGAGATAAATATAAAAATGTTTACAGATTAAATGATATGATGTCTGGGATTTGCTCTCCAAAAATATGGAGGACTGGAAACACTGGCTGGGTGAAGATAAAAGGAGATAAGGAGTTAGTTGGTAGTTGGGGGTAGGGGAGGTATTATATTGTTCTCTTCTGTATTTTTTCAAAAGTTTCCATAATAAAAAGGTGTTTGTGTTCAATGTCCTTTAAGGTTGCTGAATGAAGGGGCAGCTAAGCTGTGACTTGGAGGGATGAATGGGATGATGGTGTGGAAAGGATGTACGAGGACCCTGGGGACAAAGAAAGCCTGAACCAGGGGAGCAGCGGGGGTCTTAGAAACCTAAACAGGTTCTGACAGATGGGGGACCTGGCCCTGGTCCCATGCAGGCTGCTTCTTCGAGCCCTGTGCCGTCTCAAAGTCTCAGCTTCCTCAGCCATTAACCAAGGGCAAAGATCTTCCCTTTCACAGTATTTTGAAGCTCCGCTGAGACCCACCAGTGAAGCTTGTTTGACACCTTAAAGATTCTGGTACCATCTTCCAAAGTGTGCATGTGTGTTGGGAGGGGTGGGTTCCCCCATAGCACCAAGCAATTCTCTGACCCTGGCTGGGTGTCCTACAGTTCAACCCAATTCTGACGCTACCCAGAGAGAGCATCAGAGCACACAGTTAAGAGTTTAGTCCTACAAGACTGCCCCTCCACCCACTTCAGACCCCAGCTGCAACTCCATGCGGTTACTTGCGCCTCTGACCGACTGGCTATAGATCGAAGGGCCAAAAACCTTTCTCCTTGGGTTCAGTTAATTTGATAGAGCAGCTGACAGAACTCATGATTTTACTTACCAGGTTATTATAAGAGGCTATAACTCAGGAACAGGCAAGTGGAAGGGAAGCATAGGGCAGGGTTAAGGGGAGAGGACGCCAAGCTCAGAGCTGCTGTGTCCTCTGGAGAGCACCATTCTCCCCACATCTCCACATGTTCACCAACCCTGAAGCTCTCTGAAGCCCATCCTTTTGGGTTTTTATGGAGACTTCAAATACAGGCACCATTGATTAAATCATCAGCTGTGGGCAACTGAACTGGACCTCCAGCCCCTCTCCCCTCCCCAGAGGTCTGGAGGCAGGACTGAAAATTCCAACCCTCTGATCACCTGGTTGCTTTCACTGGCAACCAGTCCCCATTCTTAGGTGCTGGTCTAAAAGTCACCTCATTAACATGACACAAGACAACTTTATCCCTCTCAGCACAGGAATTCTGAAGGTTTTAGGAGCTCTGTGCCAGAAATGAAGATGAAGACCAAATACATATATATTATAAACATCGTAGCCTGTTCTGGGCAGAAAGGTTGTTGAGTAGTGTGTATACATTGGGAGCAGCATAAGGCAGAAGCTCCGCCCACGCTTGGCCAGGTCACCCAGGGCTCTGGCCTGTCCTGGTCTGTGAGAGGACACGTGGTGACCTCAGCTGCTGCTAATTGCTGGTGAGGGCACAGAAAGGGAGGAGAAGCCAGAAGCCAGAGACCCTTGTCATCTACCACCTGACAGCAAGTCCTGGGAGCAGGGAGAGGAGAGCAGTCCTGTCCTTGGCCTTTAGCTACAGAGGCCTCAGAAGTGGACAAGGTCATGAACTGTTTCCAAGCCCGCCACAGGGGTCCAGGTGGGAGGGGCAGGGAGGAGCTGCCTTGAGCAGGAGGGAGCAAGCAGTAGTTGTCACAGGGAGGACACAGGCTTGTCTCCTTCCTCCGCTTTCCCAAGGAAGAAGGGGACAAGCCTGGCTTTAAACTCCAGCTGTACCACCTTGGGCAAGTCACTCCACCTCCTTGACCAGAAGGATGTCCTCTATAAGGTGGAGACAGTAATCCCCGTCTCACAGGGCTATTAAGTGGCTGGGACTAGGTCGGCAGCAGAAGACCTTTAACAAATAGGAGTTCTATCCCCACTCATCACTCCTCCGATCAGAGCTCCAGGCAGTAGCTGTCTCTGGATTCTAAGCAAGGGTCTCATTTCATGGAGATATTTTAGATTCAGAACCATCATTATTAGCAGAAAGGCAGTGGGAGTTCACCAAGCAGGGGTTTCTCAGTCCTGGCCGCCACTGGCATCACCTGGGGACTTTCAAAACTGCTCATGTCTGATCCCACCCCCAGAGATTCTGATGTGTTTGATCTGGGATGTGGCCAGGAGCAAACAGATTTTTAGAAGCTTCCCCAAGGGACTCCAGTGGGCAGCCAGGGCTGAGAATTCCTGTCACGGGGGCTTGTGATACTCCCGATAAAGATCAAGTGAATGAATAAAATCAGCTTTTTTCTTATTGCAATTTAGGGCCAAGTGCAGCTGAATGGGGGTCTTGGGGTCCAAATATTTGGGAAATTAAAGAAAAATTTAACCTCTCAGACACTAGGGTCAACTCTGGAATGCTGTCACGTGTTTAAAGCTTGGAGATTTTGGCAAGCCTGGTTTAAGTTTGCTTTTTTTACAACATGATAAATAGCTGTGTGTTGGTTTCCCCCCTCGCTGTTATTTTTGCAATAACCCTTATTCAAAGCCTTGAAAAATTTGATGTACCATATCCCTCTGATATACCCATCAGAGAATGAATTAGAAAATATTTGAAATAGATTGGGGAAAAAATGCCACTTGGTACTACAAGGATTGAGGGTCTACAGAAAGACGCCTTTCAGAATAAATGTCAGGCATTCTTTTTGGATGAATAAGTCCCTACAGAGGTCCCATCAAGACTAGTCAGTTCATCCTTCAGTTCGACTCATAACTGCTCATTGATTCTGTGTAAGGCATTCTGGAATGGGGTTAGGGCTCCAGCACACGCAGGAATGACATGGAAACCCTTGGTCCAGTCCTGGGAAATTGATGCTTTCTCTCCTTTCACAAACCAGAGAGATCTGGCAGTGTTCTCTCAGACCTCTGTCTTTTACTCTTAGAATCCTTGTGTCCCCTGAGATCTAATGAGCAAGGGTTATAGAGGAGGAAGGAAGACAGTGCAGTGGTTCTCAAAGTGTGGTCCCTGGATCAATAGCATCAGTGTCCCTAGGAACTTGTTAGAAGTGCAAATTCTCCTGCCCACACAGCAGACATACCGAATCACAAATTCTGGGGTGGGGCCCAGCCATCAGTGTTTTCACCAACCTTCCAAGAGATTCTGATCCACTGGAGTTGAGAGAATGATGGACAAAGAGCACAGACGGAACATGAATAGAATTTGCTTCAAATGCCAGCTCCTTGGGTAAGTCACTCCACCTCTCTGGTCTCTGTGTCCTCATCTGTAAAATTAGAATGATAATAGCACCCATCACTGCAGGATTGTTGGAGGGTTAAGGGAAGGAATGCGAGTAGTGTGTTTAGCACTGTCTTTGCAGGGCTGGGATGCGGGTGAGGCAAATGAGGCACAACGGTCTTGTGGGTACCTCCTTAAATTCTGCATTCAGAGAGGGTTCACTCACCTCACTCTGATCCCAGCCCTGGTTCTCGATTTTCCAAAAGTGCTCAGTAAAGGGCTGTGTGGCTCTTTTATGTTATTGAGGGATCCTTCATCTTTGGGGACTTGACCAGGCAAAGTTCCGGAACCGAAGTCTTTAGACAGTTTGGTGTGGATGAAAGAGCTCTGGCTCTGGAATTTCCAGGCCAGGATCCGAACTCTAGGAACGCCAGCCAAGGACAGCGGTGCAGAGCGGAGGCGGGGCGAGCCCAGCGCCCTGAGACAGGCTCCTTTGGCCGGGCAGGGCTGCTTCTTTCCTGTTTCCTTCTTCCTGGGAGAAGTAGAGTTTGGACTCTCTCCCATCTGTGATCACTGTATTTTCTCTGTCAGTAGATGCCAAAGCATTTAACAAAATCCAACATCCATTCCTGATTAAAACTCTCAGCAAACTAAGAATTGAAGGGGAGTGGAGGAGGACTTCCTCTTTCTGTCAAAGGGCACCCACAAACCCCACTGCTAACACCTTACTTAATGTGAGAAGCCCCTTTCTACCTAGGATCAGGAACAAGAGAAGGATGTCCACTCTCACTGCTATGATGTACCAGAGGTTGCAGTTAGCTCATTAAGGCAAGAAAAAGAAACAAAAGGCATCCACACTGGAAAAGAAGTAAAATTGCCTTTATGCATAGATGACATGAATGTCTATAGAGAAACTCTGACGGGATCTACAGTAAAGCTATTAAAACGAAGTGATTTTAGTGAGGTTGCAGGATACCAAATCAATGTCCAAAAGTCAATTTTATTTCTAAACACTAGCAATAAAAATTGGAATTAGAAATTTAAAACTAATGTCTTTTATGATAGCATAAAAATGTGAAATACTTAGATATAAATTTGCAAAAGATGTGAACGACCTGTGCTGAAAACTATAAAACATTGCTGAGTAAAATTCAATAAGGGGGGAAGGTATAGCTCAGGTGATAGAGCACATGCTTAGCAAGCAGGTGGTCCTGGGGTTCAATCCCTAGTACCTCCTCCAAAAATAAATAAGCCTAATTACCTCCCCCCTGCCAAAACTAAATGATATAGTAATAAATAAGTGAAATATTAAAAGGACACTATGAACTCATCTACAAAACAGAAACAGACTCGCAGACATAGTAAACAATCTTATGGTTACCAGGGAAGGGATAAATTTGGGAGTTTGAGACATGCAAATGTTAGCCACTATCTATGAAAATAGATTTTTTAAAAAGTTTCTGCTGTATAGCACAGGGAACTACGTTCAATATCTTGTCATAATCTTTAATGAAAGAGAATAAGAAGATGAATATATGTATGTATATGCATGACTGGGACATTGTGCTGTACACCAGAAATTGACACATTGTAACTGATTGTACAATTTTTAAAAAAGATCCAAATAAATGGAGCAACATCCTATTACCTAACCAGGGGCACAAAAAATTTACCCCTGTATCTTCTTACCAGAGTGCAATAGTTTTGATTCATTTTGAGTTAGTTTTTATATAAGTTGTGAGGCAGGAGACCAATTTTACTCTTTTGCATGAGGATATCCAGTTGTCTTAATACCATTTGGTGAAGACCGTTTTTTACCCCCATTGAGTGGTCTTGGACCATGGCAGAAAAATCTAGTAATGATAAATGTGAGGGTTTCTTCCCAGATTCTCAAATTCTGTCCTGTTGTGTATATGTCTGTCTTTATTCAAGTACCACACAGTCTTGATTGCTGTAGATTTGTAGTAAATTTTGGAATTTTAAGAAGTTTGAGTCCTTCAACTTTATTCTTCTTTTTCAAGATTGTTTTGGTGACTCAATTTGGACAGCTAATTTTTGACAAAGCTGTAAAGGCAGAGTAGTGGAGAAAGCATAGTCTTTTCAACAAACAGAGTTCTGGAACAATTGGATATCCATATCTCTTGATTTTTTACTCTTCTGCCCATGACCCCTGCTTTTGGCTCAACTCCTATTTTATGAAATGCTTACATTCTTCTAGAGGCCTTTTTCTTATTCCTTTTCAAAAACATAAATTTAATCAAGCGTGATTAAATTTAAATCTTCTTGTTCTGTGCTTTCTCTTTTCACAGGCTATGCCTTACCTCTCTGTTCATAGACTATTTCTGAAGTCTGGGAATGTGAGCAGCTTAAAGGGGAAAATTGATGGGAGTCAAGGAGGCAGCCCGTTAATCTGTTCTCTGTGCTTCTCCCAGACAATGGCCTTCCCTCCCACTGGCCAGCTCTAGGGAAGGGCCTGAGCAGCCAGAGCTACAAGGATTTGGGCACCTGCAGGGCCATCCGGCATTGGGCAACCTCTCTCACTTGGTTTCTGCAGGAGTCAGGGCCTCCTCACATGCCTAGCTACTTTGTCCATTAGCATAATGTGCCTTTATGACATAAATCAAGTATCTAGTGCACACAGATGTCCAGCTAAGCTGTGCAAACAGGCCTCAGAGGCCCTGATTTGGCCACTGGGGGGGCAGGAAGTACCAGCAGAGCTCTGTGCAACCCAGAATTCTCCCAGTGTGGCCCCTGGTCCAGCAGTATCAGCACCACCCAGGAACTTGCTAGACATCAAACTCTCAGGCTGATTGAATCAGAACCTCTGGGACGGGGCCCAGCAATTTGGGTTTTATCCAGCCCTTCAGGTGATTCGGATGTACCTGGGCAGTTAAAGTGCTTATCTTCTGGCACTAAATTATCAAGCTTTAATGTCCTGCTTCTGCCATTTGTTAACTGTTACTTAAAATCTCTGGGTATCAGTCTCCTCATCTATACAATGGAGTTGATAAAGGTACCAGCCTCCAAAGGGCTCATGTGCAAATTAATGGAATGATCCATCTAAATTACTTAGGAAGCACTTAATAATCATAAGCTTATAAATATGAATATCACTTGCCTTCTCTGCTTATGAAAATTCATCATCATGTGTAATAGTCATATAACTGTTTCTCAAAGAAATTTATATATGATGGACCTACTTATTTTGATAAGAAGCAATGTAAGTATTATCATCATCTCCATTGCCCACTTGTAGAAACCGAAGCCCAATGTACCGTCCTTCCAGGGTGACAGTGAGACATAAATCCCTACTGACTTGAACATCTGTGTATTTTTGTCACATCATGAGTTCTTGGAGTGCAGGACTGCAATCTTAGTTGACACAAGTTTAACTGTTGTAATTGAGGTACCTGTATTTGTCTACTCCAAGAAGAAAGATGAGGTTAATGGTGATGCTGTTAGTTATATATAAAGTGCTTTGGGGGACCCAGCTTAGCACCTTACTCACCCCTGGTCCCTGAGAGTCCTCATTTTTGAAAGGGGAGAGGCTGTTTGGTGGGGTGGAAGAGGCCAACTCAGCTCCAACTTCTGGCTCCAACATTTCTTAGCTGAGTGTGTGACTTTGAACAAGGCGCTTGCCTCTTAGAACTTCCTTTTCCTCTTCTGAAAGATGGGGTATTATCCATGCCCTGCCCAGCTCCCAGAACAGCCTTGGGTCTCAAATGAGATAACAGCTGTGGAAGCACTTTGCAAACTGTAAAGTGCATGCACAAGCATGGAATTGGAAGTCACAGAGGTGGTGAGGGCAGTTTGCTGAAGACAAATACCGCCACCCCACCCGCAACCAGCCCCCCGCTGGCTCTCAGCAGTCCTGTGGTCTGGCAAGGCCACAGTACTATGCAGCTGGTGGGAGGTAGGTGGGGATGGGTGGAGAATTAGTCAGGATGTGTGGTCTGACCCATGTCAGGGAGCAGCCTGCCACGGCAGGGGGAGCTCAGAGACCCTGCCAGGCAGAGCCACAGGCCTGTGCCATCACAGGTATAAGCCATCAGCTCAGAAATACCCACCGCTGGCCTGCTTCCTGGTTAACCACGGGCGCTCTGGAGTCAGGCCCAAGGAATCACTTGAAGCAAAACAAGATCCCGTCCCAGCTGCCAGTTCACAAGAAGACTGTGGCTCAGACCCTCACTTCCCGGGGCCTTAATTCTACAATACAAGCCAACACAAGGAGACTGGTTCTCAACTAGCCCACTACCTCTATTATTTTCCCTCCTACATCGAGTGCTTGCATCCAGAAATCTTCCCTGCCAGTACCTTTTCCTAAGTGACGACAAATGTGTTTGCCATTTTTGCAGTATTCAGAGACACAAACTGAGAATCCAGGAGACTACTCCTAGCAGTGCAGGGTGGAGTTGGGGAACCAGCCTGTCTGGATTGGATCCTGGCTGGCTGTGTGGCCTTAGGCAGCTTGCTTAGCCCCTTTGAGCCTCAGTTTCTCCACCTGCAAAATGGGGATGATAAGCCTCCCCATCTTACCAGGTTGAAGGTTAGTGGGATGATGCGGGTCAAGGGCTTCGCCCTGCTCCTGGCAGAGGAGACACTCTGTGAGCAGCTGTCATTATCTTCTCCAGCAACACCAGGGTACAGAGGGACCACACTGAGCTGACTTCAGGGAAACGCTGAGACCCCTGAATGGTCAGGAGCCTGTAAGCCCTCGCACAGGGGCTACAGACAGTTTCTTATAGGCTTTTGAAAGAACTGGAAATAGTCTGAGGACCTCCAGCAGCCAGGGGCCTCCAGCCTGGGAACCACTGCCCCGGAGTCGTAATGCTTCTTCCAGCTCTGACAACACCTCAGCTCTACTGAAGATCAGCCAAACCTCTTAAAAGAAATCCACGTGCTCAGTGGCAGCTGGACCTGTGGTGAGTCCAAGGCAGACCCCAGGAGGGGCAGCCACAGCCCAGAGTCCTGCCTCCCAGGAACGGGGGCCCTGGACAAGTGGGGCACATCAGAGGCAAGTTTGAAGCCTCCTATTCAGAGTGTCTGGGAACTGAACTTCCACACCCTCCCCCACCTCTGTGATCTAAACAGACCAAGAGAGAAGGAAGTGGTTATTTCAAAGGCTGGGCGAGCCCCCTTTGCAAAGGGGCCTGCGTCTTGAGTCCCCCAAGGACTTGCTGAGAGAGAGAACTTTGCCTGTTTCCTTGCCTTCATTTCCTCCTTCTGCTCCTTGCAGGCCTGTTCTAAATATATATCCTAGAGGTCAAGATATGAGATGGCAAGAAGCAGTAACTAGCCACCAAAGGTAGAGAGAAAACTCAGGAGCTGGGTGGTGTGGGAGTGGTCTGGGGGTCAGCCGTGCCAGTGAGGTCTCCCACGGCAAATGCCACGGCTGATGGGAACAGCACACACCTCTACTCACCCCGACCCCGTGGGTGCCTCTCACCCATTCTCTCTGGCTTCTTGCACCAGCCGCCTGAGACATCCAATCAGGGGTTCTTGTTCCTGTTATACAGAGGGAGAAACCAAGAGCCAGAAAGGAAGTGCTAACACTATAAATCATGGTTGACTTGTACTGAACACTTACTAACTTGCCAATAAGGTACTGAGAACTCAGGATTCCCACCTGGATCTGGTGAGGAAAGTACTATTATTACCATCTTGGTTTTACAGATAAGAAAGTGAAGGCACAGAGATGTCAGTAACCGTCAGATGCCGAAGCCGACACTTGTAATCACTGGTTACGCCCGCCCTGCCCAAGGGATTACAGGAGTCAGGGGCAGGGCCAGAAGCCAAACCAAGTTTAATGCTCTGTCCCTGCTGCCCGTCCGATTGTGTGGTGAGTGTAAGGCTGGCTATTCAAACAATCAGATCTATACAAAAAGGGACCAGCTGTGTGGGCGGGAGTGAGCACCCCATTACTGAGGGGCATCCCAACCGAAAGTACAAGATCCCTCGGTGGGGTGTCACAGTGGTGACTGGGGTTGAACTTAAGAAAAGACACAAGCATCTACAGAGGATGGAAGGGGACAATGAAACCCATTGTGGTTGCCAAACAAACCTCCAAAAAAGATTGCCAGGTCCCATCTCCTCTTTCCAGCCTCATGTCACTCATTCATTCTAAAGCTACAATTTGCTGAGAGCCTGCTCTGTGCCAGATGCGGTGTCACGTAGCAACTGACAAGGCAGACACAGCCCCTGACCTCCTGGAGCTGATACTCATTCCAGTGACCTGCGCAACCCAGGTGGCCTTCCTGCAACTTCCTGGACTACACCAAGCTTTCTCACCCTGGATCTTGGCTCCTTCTGTTTCCCTTCTGCCAACTCCTCATGCTGAAATCAACCCCAACTCAAATGCCACCTCTCCTGGGACACCTTCCCTGGTATTCCCAATAGCACTGTCATTCCTCCCGCCCAGCTCCTGTGACCATACAGGGTGTTTACATATCCCATGGGGGGGGGGGTGCATTGGTTTGCTTTGAATTTCAGGTAAATGGTGGGGGGAGTGGGGCGTTCTTCTCCAAGACCAGAAGCCCGTGGACAGCAGGAATTGTGTCCTATTCTGACTTTCTAATGCCAGGCACCCTGGCACCGAGAAGATGCTCGTTCACTCATTCATTCGTTCAACAAATATGCCCTGAACACTGACATGTGGCAGGCCCTGTTCTGCCTCAGGGTTTACAAAACAAAGAGCCCTACCCTCATGGACCTTCTGGTGAGAACGACTAAGTGGACAAATCAGTAACTGAATGAATATGCGGTGAATCCTGAAAACCCTTTTGAGATCCTACACCTAGGAGAAGGCACATTTTAGGACTGTTTGTATATTCACAAGGCCAAATATTTATCTAAATTAAGTGAGCTCTTGAAGGAAGCCTACCTTCCTCTGTGGTGTGAGTGTTTAAAAATCACCGGAAAGAAACTGTGTTGGAATTAGTTGTTGCAGCGTGACCCCGTTCGGGAATCCAAAGCCATCGAGGTATTAATCTGAGGCTTGGATAAAATAAAATAAACTAAGCTTTAGAGTCACAGAAATGATTCAGTTTGAGGAAACACCAGGCCCAAGGACAGTAATAACAAAAATAATCACAGCAAACACTTACACAGCACAGACACTGCCCCCGCTCCTGACAGATGACAGGGCTGTTTCGGAAGGAAGGGGAGGCTACCAGAGGGGCGACCCTCACGGGAGCTGTCCCTCAAGATGGGCCATTGTTCACTTGTGCTCCGGCTGTCCCCTGAGCCACAGCAAGTTTGCAGCCTTTGAAATTCCCAGGAATTCAACGGCAGAAAGTATAGCCTTCCCAAGTGAAAGGAAATTTGATTTTCTAAAATAGAAAAATTATGCTCAGAGGAGGAAATTCCTTGAAACTATGGAAGCATCTTTAGTCCCTGAAAAGAAGAACAGAAAGCACACCTATTGAGAGCCTATTATAGACCAGGCACGGGGCTCGGACCTGATGTGAACTCTCGTTTACTCACTGCTGGGTGCTGGCCTAATGCGAGGCCACAGCCAGGAATGAAATGCATGATACTGTCAGTCCCCAGGGCCGACATGCACCAGGATGTCCCTATAGAACTGTCCATTTGTTAAAATATTCATATGTTTCTGTTTACAGAGCAGCTGCCCCGCGCTCCCAAGTGCCTGCCACCTTCCCCAGCTGCCCCAGGCCCTCTTCCCATCCTCCCTGCAACCTTCCCCAGGATCCAGCCACCCAAGAGTTGACTCCAGCACAGCTGGGAGCCCAGAAGACCTGGCACCGGTTGGTGGCCCAGCCAGACCTGACTGGTCAGTGCCTGTTAAATGTTCTGCTTATCACCCTTGGCTGGCCCTCCTGGAGCTCCCAGGCCCCACGGGAGCCTCACCGAACCCCAGCAGCCCTGCGAGGGGGAATCCACTGACCCTCTCAGACTTCTGCCTGCAGCTCCCTAAATGCCGCCATCCCCCAAGCTTCCTTCCTCCGCCACTACCTTCTCCTTCCTGCAGTGATCTGACCCCAGCTGGTGGTTTCTTACCTTTTCTACCCACTCATATCCCCTGAATTTGCTCCCCCAGCCTGGACCTCTCCCCTGAGCTGGCCATACAGTTAACCGCCTGCTGGACGTCTCCCCCGAGGTCAGCTTCTTCCCCAGACCTCTCCGTCCTCCCCTGCCTCCTCCTCCCTTCCTCCCGTGTTCCCGTTTCTCTTATTCACATATGCACATATTCACGCCCAAAACACCCAGACAGCATCCATTACAAGCCAGGCACCATGCCCAACATCAAGGATGAGGAAGGGAGCAAGATAAACCCTCGAGGAGCCCATAGTCCATCTGATGCCCAAGCACAAAGCTTAGTGTCACCTCCAATTCCCCCTCCTTCAACCCCAGCAGGAATGTTCAAGTCCTGCCATTTGCCCCTTTCCCTCCATCTCCACCACCAAGGCCTAAGCCCAGATCCTCATCCTCAATGCCTCCCTCCCAGGCTCCTCAGCTCCCTTCTCAAGTGGCCTTCTCCAGAGCTTTCTCGGCCACACAGCCAGAGGGGTGTCTCTGGCACATGTCTAAAGCTGACCCAACTCAGCTTAGAGCCTTCCATGGCTCCTCACGGCCCTCAGGAGAAAGTCCACACTCCCTGGCCTGGCGTTCACAGCCCATCCTGACCTCACTTCCTCGAGCAGGGTAGGCCTCATGGGAGACGAGTTTTTGGGTGGTGGAGCTGTCTGTTCCCACCCACCTGCTGACTCTTCCCCAGCTGGGAGACACATGCACACAGACCCCATATGCACACGGACACACACACACCCTCAGGTGAACCTGAGACACAAACAAGGAAGCCCATTTATACCAACACACATGCACATAGATATAGTTGTCACATTCAGCAAATAAAAGCATAAAGTGCCCAGTTAAATTTGAATTTCAGATGAACGACAAATTATCTTTTAGTATAATAAGTATGTTCCAAATATTGCACAGGACAGACTTATCATACTAAAAATTACTTTGTTGTTCATCTGAAATTAAAATTTAACTGCGCATCCTGGATTTTATCTGATGACTGCACATCAAGAAAGGCTTACACAACACCACCCCACACAGAACCCAGCTTACACACCCACACACATTACACACCAACAATCCAATTCCTTTTATCACCTAGACCAACTGTGGCAGGACCATGACATCAGCAAGCTGTGGAGGGCTCTTCAGGGAAATGTTTATTCCAGGAATAAATGCCTAATTGACAGGAATTCCTGGACGTCCAGGTTCTGGAATGTTGTGTGCCCAGAGCATTCCTGCGGAAACTGGGGTTCCATTGATTGCAGTGCCCTGACTCACAGGGATGGCCGTGGGGAGAAGGGGTCTACGGACCTGAATCTCTCACTCCCTCTTGTGAGATTTCCAGAGCAGAGTTTAGTTCCTCTCCCAAACAGGATCTCCTTGTTCAGGTCCAAAGGCAGCCTGGGATAATGAGAAAGCCCCAGAATTTGAAGGCAGACACAATTAGGTTAAAACCTGACTTCAACACATCTGTACTGCATGTCTTTGGGCAAGTCATTTACCCTCTCTGAGCATTCATTAGTTCATCAGTATTATGCAAATGATCCATTAATAAACCAACTCCTTAGAGTTATGGTAAGAATTACTAAATGATATTATATATGGAAGACTATTTTTTGAGTTTTGGTATAAACTCTTATTATAAAGTACATACACAAATCAAAGAAATATCAACTGCAATCGGATTCAGAGATGGAGTGGCCCCTCAGGTTGTAAGTAAAGCACAGAAGAGGAGAAGGCAATGAAATGTTGGGACAGTTAAACTCAGGCAACGAAAGAGGATTGGAGGAAACTTCTAGAAGTGATGGGTATGTTTGTGGCATGGATTGTGATAATGGTTCTGTGGACATATACTTATTTCCAAACTCATCATGTTATATAATTAAATTGTACCACTCTTTGTATGTCAATCATACTTTAACAAAGTGGTTTAAAATAATAAAGTCAGGCGCTAGTATCAATTAAATAGTGTAGAATCATATCCTAAATAGGTCAGGTTCTAAATTTAGCAGACAGGGAAAATTGTGTATTTTTAAAACACTTTGAAAACCCTTTAGGATTGTATGTACAATGCTGTGCAACATCAAATAATTCCTATACACATTGGAAACTTAGGACCACAGAAATAGAATGAAGGAAATTCTTTGTGCAAACATCCGGGCATATTCTGTTTTCCAAATGACTAGCAAATCCCCAGTGGTGGCTGGCAGGGGTGGAATTTCAGCATTTCTACTTGCCTGCATGGTTTCCTCTGTTCTTCTCAAAACATTGAGCTTCTATGGGGTCAACATTAGTGTTGTTCATCAATGTTTCTAGTTGTCTCCTGCCTTGAATGCAATAGATTGTGTTTACTCCCTTGAGGTTAGGCAAGATTATGTGACTTGCTTTAGTCAATGAAATGTGAAGTGATGTGTGTTACTACTGGGCAGAGGTGTTCAAGTTCTGCTAAATGCTAAGCAACTCTTCATCTTCTCTTCCCTTGGCTGCAGTGCCAACAACATTCCAGATGGTGAATCCTGAGTGTCCAAGAGAGGTCAGTGTGGGGCAGGGACACCACTGATCTACAATGGACTTGTAATATAAGGGGGAAATAAACCTTTGCTGTTTTAAGCTATTCATATTTGGGAGGTGTGTGTTACTGCAGCAAAACCCAGCCAATCCTGACTAATACACTTTATAATCTTAATATGTATTCATAGATGTTTTTGTTGATAAGTTTTTTTAATGGCATTACTGCTTATTAGGGAAGGAAAGTTCTAAGTAGACTCGTAAGTTAAGTGAGCCTGATGAGATGTCACATAATCATATCCTGCCTAGTCTCCTTCCAAACAGAATTCATAGTACCTTAGGAAGTCAAACTACATACTGGCAAACAGAGTAGCTAATCTAACCATGGAGGAGAGATGGCAATCCATTCAGGGAAAAATGGGAGAGGATTGTACCTGGAAGCTTTGCCCAAAGCCAAGAATGAAACATTAAATCATGGATCAGTGAGAGTATTCAGAAATGGGTAATAGGAGAAATTAGTACCAAAGGCTCTGGACAAGAGGGATGGGAGGGAGGAAACAACATTTATAGAATGCCTGCTATGTGCCAGATACTGTGCTACATGCACTGAAAATGTAATTTCTTTACTAGTCTCACTAAAATGCAATGATGTAGAAACGGAGGCTGAGAGGTCAAAGAAGTTGCCCAAAGTTTCACAGTGACAGAGCAAGGATCCAAAGCCACACTGGCCTCACTCTTACATGGATGCTCTTATTGGAACCATAGGGAGGCTGAGTTTGGCAGGACACACTGGCCACCATGTGCTCCAGGCGTGGTAGCAATTTAATGTGGAAACAGGCTAGCATTCAGTTTCCCAATAGCTTGGATGTGGTCTCTTGGCGAAGACTGAGGTGTCCAGAGGGCTTGCCCCACACAGGGCGGCCCTGCTTATAGTCGACTTCCTGCTCTGCACCAACAAGGTTCCCGGGATTCTTGTGAGTGTCCCCAGAGGAGGAAGCAGCATTCCAGGCCCAGATGCAGACAGCTGTGTGCTTCCTCCAGTCTCGGGTGACTCATGCTGGGACAAGAAAGCCCCTTCTTTGCCCGGATTCCCTGTCTCCAAATCCTAATCTGGGGAAAGCTGCCTTTAGCAAGCTGAACACAAGACTCCGGGTGGCTGGCGCACGAAAGGAACGGGGGACTGAGGATGTCCAAAGAGAGCAGGGTCCAGAACAAAGAGGAAATTCAGGGTGGGAGATCGTTTTTTCTCCCTGGCAAGGCTCCTGTGGCCATCTGGCTGAGGGGGCTGTTATTCAAACCTCTGGATCATCGTCTGTTTGTTTTTTAGGAGTCTGCAGCTGATTATTTTCATCAAATTCCCTACGACCAACTGCACTGGCTCCAGTAGCAGGCAAACCCATGCAGCCAGCGCGTCCTCTCGTCCGGGTTCACAGCTCCCGCCCAGGGAGCCCGCAGCACCCCTCTTCTCTTACCAACAAGTGGCCCCCGGCCCAGGATAGGTTCTTCACCTTTGGATGCCAAGGCCAGCACTCCAGATGCTCCGCTGACGTCAACTGGACAGACTGGAGTGAAGGAGGGGCATTTTGGAGATCAGAAAGCCCCTGGAGGCCAGACCAGCTCCTGGGGACTCTGGTATTGTCCTCCCAGATCTGAAAAGACAGCACCAACTTTTTCTGGGTGTCTTCAATGTGCAGAAAGGCAGGATGTAGAGATCTCAGAGAGGACTGAGTTGGGAGTTCAGGCCCAAACTCCACAACTCTTGCTCTAAGGCAACTGAGCCTCCTTTCCTTCCTCTGAGGATTGGGGGCAGTAAAGCTTTATGTCCCTGAGCTGTTGTTATGCAAATACATATACATATAATATTACAGGCACACCTCATTTTATGGCACTTTTCGGGTATCATTTTTTTTACAAATTGAAGGTTTGTGGCAACCCCACATTGAGCAAGTCTCTCGGCACCATTTTTCAGCATTTACTCACTTTGCGTCACTGTGTCACATTTTTAGTAATTCTCACAATATTTCAACCCTTTTCATTATTATTATATTTATTATAATGATCTGAGATCAGTGATCTTTGATGTTATTACCACAACTCACTGAAGGCTCAGATGATGGTTAGCATTTTTTAGCAATAAAGTATTTTAAAGTGTGGTGTGTACATTGTTTTTAGATATAATGCTATTTCACACTTACTAGATTACAGGGTAGTGTAAACATAAGTTTTATGTGCACTGGGAAGCCAATAATGTGTGTGACATGCTTTATTTCAATATTCGCTTTATCTTGGTGGTCTGGAACTGAACCCCAGACACCTCCTAGGTATACTAGTATACAGACCGCGTCTGTACATAGCACGTTCTCACAGTTTCCTCATTCCATTTCTTCAAGCATGTGACGTGCTGGTCTCAGCCCTCCTGGCTGGAAGGATGGGGGAGGCCTCCTGCTCCTGGCTGTGGGGAACAGGATGCAGGGACTGGGGACTTGCCTTCCAGAGGTGATAAGAGGGGCCCATGTTTTCAAACTGTAGTGGCCAAAGACTGATAACTTTTTACCCAGAAAGTAAAATCCAAATGGTTTGGTAAGACATGAGCTCAGTTGCTCAATACACCTTCTGGACGTCAGCCTGTCCTTGGGGTCAAATGAGCTTCAACCAGGCCAGGCATTTCATATCTACTTCCTCCTGCAACTGTTTTTCAGTAGAGAAGCTTGACCTGTGCAACACGGACACACACTCAAGGTCCCTCAGAAAGAGCTTCTGTACGTGCCAGAGGGACAAGTTCAACAGTAAGGTGCGTGTGGTTGGGGATGTCATTAGAAAAAGGAAGGAGGCATAGGCACATGAAAACATGCTCAACATCACTAATTATCAGAGAAATGCAAATCAAAATTACAGTGAGGTACCCAATCTCACACCGGTCAGAATGGCCATCATTTAAAAAGTCCACAAACAATAAACGCTGGAGAGCATGTGGAGAAAAGGGAACCCTCCTACATTCCCCTGGTGGGAATGTAGTTTGGTGCAGTCACTATGAAAAACAGTATGGAGATTTCTTAGAAAACTAAAAATAGACTTACCATATGATCCGGCAATCTCACTCTTGGGCATATATCTAGAGGAAACTCTAATTCGAAAAGATACATGCACCCCAATGTTCACAGCAGCACTATTTACAATAGTCAAGACATAGAAACAACCTAAAAGTCCATGGACAGACTACTGGATAAAGAAGTTATGTTGTGTGTATGTACACACACACACACACACACACACACACACACACACACACACACACACAGAGAA